AAATGAGACGATAAATTTTGTCTAGTGAAACCTTATCATACCAGATGGTACTTTAATAAAACCGGACATTCCGGAAGCCATAGTTCTGTCGGTGCCATTCATCCTATTGTCACGGTGTGGATGATAACCGAGATTACGAGTTTTTACAAAGCGTCCACTCCAGATCTACAATATTTTGTTGTTCCTATTCTTACCAATACTTCATTTCTTATTTTGATAAACAACCTTCCTTTTCAAACTACTAGTCAGACCTAAATATTTCAGAAAATCTTTCCGTTTTCTTCTATGAGTCGGATCTATATACAGGCTAACGATACCTTACATAAAATGTTTTACCTAAATCGAGTATTCTAAAATCACTCTCGTGCGACCTCAAAGAACAAACCATAGAGCACTTTGCTTGAAAACATACTTTGATGAATCTTCAGAGAAAAGTTCCATAAGATTTAAAGATTAAAAATTTTGTCTTACGATCCTTACAAGGTCGATGTTATAGTTTTATTCTAGGGACATGAAAGTCTTTTATTTTAACTCTTTCTAGAAATTTTATATAAAATAAACAAGGTTGATCAAAAAATTATGTAACTATTGCAAATGACGGCAAATGTCAGTTCAATCTTCAAATTGTTGAAGAATATAGAAGTATAAGATTTATGTTTATCTTAAACGATAAAAATGCAAGTAAAAGCATTAAATAAAATAAGGATCGAAAATAAAAAGAAAAGAAATTAAGAAATTTTAAAGATTATATACAGATATACATACATATTTCCGCTATAAAATAGTTAGACATACGTACATATACATACATTCATACATATACATACACGTATAATCCCTGTTAAAAAAATAAAGTTCATTAAATTAAAATCGACTTCATTAAAGTGACATTTGATTTATATACATTTAGTTTTCTTTTTTGTTTTACCCACCTTAAATCCTTCTAATAAAAAAACATAAACTCTAAACCAAAAACTATAAAATAATTTGTTTTAACAACTGTCTCATACTCCATCAAATCAAATTCATTAACAAAATCATAAAATGAAATTTAAATACGAGAGAAAAAACATTAAATGTAATAAAAGGAAAACACATTTGAATAAAAAAATCTCATACACAAATGATGATAACTCATTGAAGAGGATAGTGTTGATGATGAAGATCATTAAATTGTTTTATATTTAAACAATATGAAAAGGAATATAATTCATTTGATAACCCTTGTATGAATATACTGTGCAATGTGTAGATGTATAATGAAACCCTTGAGATATGAAACATACAAATGCAACATGCAACACTATAAAGGACGTTCTTAGTTTCTGTTTATGAGCATAAAACAACAGATAAGAAAAATGTCAACAACTCATATGAAAAGTTATATATATCATCAATAATTGTTTAAATGGCGATCATTTTATTCTTTATATGCCCAATAACAGGTAATGAAGGCAATTAATGTTCATGAGTATTTGTATTTTAGAATGGAATATAGTGTGGGCTATAGTAGTATAGAATAGTCTATAGTGTGGACTATAGACCAGTCTATAAATCAGTCTATAGTTTTGACTATAGAACAGTCTATAGTCTGGACTATAGAACAGTCTATAGTCTGGACTATAGAACAGTCTATAGTCTGGACTATAGAACAGTCTATAGTCTGGACTATAGAACAGTCTATAGTCTGGACTATAGAACAGTCTATAGTCTGGACTATAGAACAGTCTATAGTTTGGACTATAAACAGTCTATAGTCTGGACTATAGAACAGTCTATAGTTTGGACTATAGAACAGTCTATAGTCTGGACTATAGAACAGTCTATAGTCTGGACTATATAACAGTCTATAGTCTGGACTATAGAACAGTCTATAGTCTGGAATATAGAACAGTCTATAGTTTGGACTATAGAACAGTCTGTAGTCTGGACTGTCTATAGTCTGGACTATAGAACAGTCTATAGTCTGGACTATAGAACAGTCTATAGTCTGGACTATAGAACAGTCTATAGTCTGGACTATAGAACAGTCTGTAGTCTGGACTGTCTATAGTCTGGACTATAGAACAGTCTAAAGTTTGGACTATAGAACAGTCTATAGTCTGGACTATTGAACAGTCTATAGTCTGGACTATAGAACAGTCTATAGTCTGAACTATAGAACAGTCTATAGTCTGAACTATAGAACAGTCTATAGTCTGAACTATAGAACAGTCTATAGTCTGGACTATAGAACAGTCTATAGTCTGGACTATAGAACAGTCTATAGTCTGGACTATAGAACAGTTTATAGTCTGGACTATAGAACAGTCTATAGTATGGACTATAGAACAGTCTATAGTCTGGACTATAAAACAGTCTAGAGTCTGGACTATAGAACAGTCTATAGTCTGGACTATAGAACAGTCTATAGTCTGGACTATAGAACAGTCTATAGTCTGGACTATAGAACAGTCTATAGTCTGGACTATAGAACAGTCTATAGTCTGGACTATAGAACAGTCTATAGTCTGGACTATAGAACAGTCTATAGTCTGGACTATAGAACAGTCTATAGTCTGGACTATAGAACAGTCTGTAGTCTGGACTGTCTATAGTCTGGACTATAGGACAGTCTATAATCTGGACTATAGAACAGTCTATAGTCTGGACTATTGAACAGTCTATAGTCTGGACTATAGAACAGTCTATAGTCTGGACTATAGGACAGTCTATAGTCTGAACTATAGAACAGTCTATAGTCTGGACTATAGAACAGTCTATAGTCTGGACTATAGAACAGTTTATAGTCTGGACTATAGAACAGTCTATAGTATGGACTATAAAACAGTTTAGAGTCTGGACTATAGAACAGTCTGTAGTCTGGACTGTCTATAGTCTGGACTATAGAACAGTCTATAGTCTGGACTATAGAACAGTCTATAGTCTGGACTATTGAACAGTCTATAGTCTGGACTATAGAACAGTCTATAGTCTGAACTATAGAACAGTCTATAGTCTGAACTATAGAACAGTCTATAGTCTGGACTATAGAACAGTTTATAGTCTGGACTATAGAACAGTCTATAGTCTGGACTGTCTATAGTCTGGACTATAGAACAGTCTATAGTCTGGACTATTGAACAGTCTATAGTCTGGACTATAGAACAGTTTATAGTCTGGACTATATAACAGTCTATAGTATGGACTATAGAACAGTCTATAGTCTGGACTATAAAACAGTCTAGAGTCTGGACTATAGAAGAGTCTATGGTCTGGACTATAGTAAGTCTATAGTCTGGACTATAGTAAGTCTATAGTCTGGACTATAGTAAGTCTGTAGTCTGGACTATAGTAAGTCTATAGTCTGGTCCATTGAATATAATATAGTTTGGTCCATAGAATGGTCTATAGTCAGGACAGTAAAACAACCATATTCTGACCTACGGAATATTCTGTAAATTACACTAAAGAACACACTATGCTTTTATAGGCTAATTTCCTCCGATTTAGGGACATTTTTGATTTTGTTGCAATCTCTAAACTTCATCATTGCGATAATTTCGTAGCGCTTGGCTAAAGTCTCTATGGACTCATTAAAGGTACTTTTAAATTACAAAAATTTTATTTTGTTTGATACTCTATAAAAAACATTCATTATATTACATGTTTTTGTGATTTTCAAAAAGGACACAATCGATATTAAAGGTTATGAAAACAAATAGCCAACAGTTGTCATCGGAATAAAAAAGAAGCATAAAATGTAATAATAATTAAAAATTGAGTACCTGAAATGATTTGTTTTTTTGTTTAAAAAATATTTTCAAAGTGCTAGAAAAAGGGCAGGAAAATCGTATTAAAATCAAACTAAAACTCAAAAACTCAATAAAGGTATGGTTTAAAGAAATCATCAATGAAATTCTCGTACTCATATGCAGACGATAAAATTACACAATTTGGCGACAACATTATCAATTGATACTTGTACACTCCTTTTTGACAACGGTCAACAAAAAAAATTAAAAACCCGAAAAAAATATTATACAAAAATTATGAAGGTTTTAAAAAATGTTTGTACAAAAACAAACCTTCATCTACCAAAGATCTGTTGTGTTTTGCTACTCCGTGTTTTAGTCCTTTCGTTAGTTTAGGTGAATGTTCATTGATCCTTCTGGTGATTTGTAGGGTTTTTGCGCATTCGGCTACTAAAACTAAACTTGTGTGTACATATACAGGTATATGTATGTTTGTGTTTTTCTTTCTTCAGGAAGCATAATTTTTCTTATTTTTTTGCCTTGTCCTTTTTTATTTGGGTGTCCGTTTTTTAAGATTTATTCAACGTGAGGCGCCTGAAAATGTTGCTTCAACATATTTCTTTGTATTTTTTTGGGTCACACATCGAATGTGATAACAATTTAAGAATTTATGTTGTGATTTTCATATTTTCCTTCTCAGATAAGGTGTCTAAAAAAGGGACAGTTTTGAGGTTTTAAGGATAATAACTTTACGAATATTAAATATAAATTTAGAGTTCCCATGAAAATATGTATATCAGCTTATGGTCGACCGACCAACAGGTGATATAGGAGTCGTAGGTAGTTTTTGTGAGAAAAATATTTAATATTTCTTAATTTAATTTAATGCTATTTGAATTTTTAATTTCGAGACATGATTAAGAATATGCTAAACTATAGGTTGTTGACAAGTTTTTTTATACTATTTATGGAAAATATTTTTTAATAAATATTTCAAATAATCTGTCAAATTGTATGACATTGACTAGACTTTAGATGTGTATGTCTTTTGATATTGGCGTAGAAAAAGGAAGTAAATTAAATCACTTCCGGATGACGTTTGGTACGTTTGAAAATATAATGTCTATTCATCAATAAACTTATGTAAAAATATTCACAGGATAATGAATATTAATTGTAAATATCAGTGGGATATAAAGTTAGATTTTGTAAACTAAAATATGTTCTAGACGGGTTAAGTTTGTTATTGAAACGGTGACACACATTGGCTTAGCACCGAGGCGATGTCGTAAACAATGAGGTTTTACCGGGTTTCGATTAGTGCTAGTTGAAAACTTTAACCAATGCCCTGGGAACGTGAAAAACCGTCCACTACGACAATTTTTAGACCCACTATGACACACTGGCTTTATAAAGGCGTGTTTAGACCTATTTTAGAAGACTCGGGTACCAACTTGACCAAAGCTCAGGACACATCGACCAATCGAAACTAAATGTATGATTTGAGGCAGAAGCCGACAGACTTTTATCTCTTGAAGAATTACCAGAATCGGAAATGTTCAGAAATTGGACGACATTGATTCCAGATAGTCAGTCATGGTCCAATGGAACATTATACCTTTTAACACAGAAATCAAAGTATGTACATTATCGTCTTATAGAACACAATACCAGTTCCAGGTGAAACTGTACATATCGTCTTATATATATTATCGTCTTACCAGCAACAGAAATGATGAAATTGAGGGACATTGATTCCAGATATGGAATCATGGTCCAATGGAACATTATACCTAATAACCCAAAAATCGAAATATGTACATTATTGTCTTCCAGAACACAACACCAGTTCCAGGCGGAAGTATAGGCTGGATGTAAACATATGTACATACTTTTACGAGAGCCAGTCGAAAAGGTTAAATCAAAGACTTTAATAGACTGTAAGAAAACTATAGCGGACTTTTATTTCGGTAAGTTCTTCATCATATGAACAACAGACCACTCAGGGCTTATTAGTAGCGATGTATATAATGCTAAGTAAAGACAGGAAACTTGAAGAAGTTAACCTGACAAATACAAAACAGTTCGACACAACTAAATCAGATTTTAAAACAAGAACTAGATAATAGAATGTACTCCTCCATATGGAATAATGGAACCGTTGGTAGTACTACAAAAATCGCTTGGAGCAATGCAAATAATAGAAGAAATATGTTCGACAAGTCCGATTTTTGTTTAATCCTACGTATCCTGACTGAATATACGGATCTACGATCATAACTTCATCAAATTAGACGAGCAGAATGTGACAAATACAGAGAATGTGATGAGAGTTTGATGAAATTAGATAAAACACTTGGGAGCGATGTTATACCAGATATAATAACCCTTAGGGATATAGAATGGATATTTTTGGGCAACTGAGTTTCTAAATCATTGAACGATAATTCCACTTTTAGGATGTTTATCCATCACCAAAAAATCCGTATAAAGGAGCGCACAACAGATCCGGTAGGGGCTCCTAGGGTCTTTTGACGCCTACTATTAAACAATGAAAATGTTCAATCTGTAATTTATTCACTGTACTCAGATTTAGTGCATACATATGTCTTTAATTATATAATTAAAAGTAAATAATCAAATAATTATTGTTAATTAAAATAAACATCTGTTATTTTCATAAATACATACAAATTGTACATAGTAATGTAACCGTTTTCTCTATATTCTAAACAATAAAATTGATTTTTATTTAATTGACAGCTATTAACTTCAAATTACATTCTAAAAAATGATCTATAGAAAAAAATTGGCAAAAAAAAAGAATAGAGAAATAGTTTTTAGCACTCAATTAAATTTAACCTCTTCAGTCAAGTGCAAAAGTGTGCGAGTCGTATTTTAAAAATGCAATTCACAAAATTATTATTGCTATTTTGTCGTTGTAAATTCATTGACATACAATTTAAGTGAATTGAAGTGAAAGATGTTTAAGTGTCATCATAATAAAATAAAAAAAAAGAATTGCAAAAAAAACGACAAATAATAAAAAAACAATAAAAAATTAACACTATTTTAAACAATGGACATGAAATGAAACAATAATAAATAAAATGTACATTACACGAACAACACACATGGCTTCTTCTTCTGCATAAAGTTTTGTATCTAAATGTTGGTTTTGACAAACAATCATACATACAAATCAAAATATTGAATTGAATTAAATTAAACTGGAGTGGTGTGGAGTTGTGGTGATAACAACGATGTTGCTGATGATGGTGGTAGTGGTGCTACTGGTGATGTTGACTTTTAAACACATTTGAACAAAAACACACACGCACAAATAGATTTAAACAATAATAAAAAAGTAACCACAACGGTGTTTAGTATGTTTAATTCGAGGGTATTAGGAAAAGTATTTTAAAATGTAAAAAGTCTAATCTATATGATTGTCTAGTATATAGTCTAATCTACAGTACATTCTATAGTCTGGTCTATAGTATAGTCTAGTCTATAGTCTAGTCTAGTCTAGTCTAGTCTAGTCTAGTCTAGTCTAGTCTAGTCTAGTCTAGTCTAGTCTAGTCTAGTCTAGTCTAGTCTAGTCTAGTCTAGTCTATAGTCTAGTCTTGTCTATAGTCTAGTCTTGTCTATAGTCTAGTCTAGTCTAGTCTATAGTCTAGTCTATAGTCTAGTCTATAGTCTATAGTCTAGTCTATAGTCTAGTCTATAGTCTAGTCTATAGTCTAGTCTATAGTCTAGTCTATAGTCTAGTCTATAGTCTAGTCTATAGTCTAGTCTATAGTCTAGTCTATAGTCTAGTCTATAGTCTAGTCTATAGTCTAGTCTATAGTCTAGTCTATAGTCTAGTCTATAGTCTAGTCTATAGTCTAGTCTATAGTCTAGTCTATAGTCTAGTCTATAGTCTAGTCTATAGTCTAGTCTATAGTCTAGTCTATAGTCTAGTCTATAGTCTAGTCTATAGTCTAGTCTATAGTCTAGTCTATAGTCTAGTCTATAGTCTAGTCTATAGTCTAGTCTATAGTCTAGTCTATAGTCTAGTCTATAGTCTAGTCTATAGTCTAGTCTATAGTCTAGTCTATAGTCTAGTCTATAGTCTAGTCTATAGTCTAGTCTATAGTCTAGTCTATAGTCTAGTCTATAGTCTAGTCTATAGTCTAGTCTAGTCTATAGTCTAGTCTATAGTCTAGTCTATAGTCTAGTCTATAGTCTAGTCTATAGTCTAGTCTATAGTCTAGTCTATAGTCTAGTCTATAGTCTAGTCTATAGTCTAGTATATAGTCTAGTCTATAGTCTAGTATATAGTTTAGTATATTTTTGGCTATAGTCTTATCTAAAGTCTAGTCTGTAGTCCAGTCCAGTCTTTAGTGTAGTCTACAGTCCAGTCTATGAAGTAGTCTATAAACCAGTCAATGGCCTATACAATTGACTATAATTCAATCCAAGGATTTATAAAGGTTTCTAATTTTTATTACCATTTATCATTAGCACTTGTTCGCCTACCCTCGTATGTTAACATGAATAGAAATGTAGTAAGTATTTTTGAATAAGTGAATGTTTAAACGTTTTATATCTATGTATGTATATCTCTATGAAATATTATTTATCTGTATCTGTGTGAGTGTGTGCGAAAGAAAATTGCAAAAATTTACTTTTTTCCTCTCCTCTGCGCAAATATTTATTTTATTTATTATTTGGATTTGGATAATAAAGGTTCACACCATTTAGTAACATGATAAAAATTTTATAAATTGAGGAAACCATGAAGTGGCACTTGAAATATAATGCATGAGTTGTTGCATACAAAAAGATGTATTTTTTTTTTCATCGAAATTTTGTACATAAATCTATTCATACCACATAAATTAAATTATTTTATTATGTATATTTGTCTACATTTAATGATTGTCTACTTAATATTAAGACCAGTCAATCAAATTTAAGTTTTATTTTTTTTAGGGGAAGCAAATGTTACATAAAGAAACAAATGTTTAACATAACTGTCATTTAGAAAATGTCATTTACTATAATTTTGCTTATTCATACTATGTAAATACGAATAAAAATATTTGGTTAAAGAAATAATTGTAATTGGTTAAAGGTTTTATGCTTGAATAGATTTTAGACATGGAAAGTTTAGTAAAGTTAATATGAGTTGGGGCGACCTAATCATAGAGACTTAAAATTACACATCTTATTAGCTGTATATTGTTTTAGTCTATCTTGTTTTCATAAAAGTTAGAAATATCCAAATTTGAAATCTTAAAGGAAAAATGTATATTTTGGACTATATGCAACAATAGAATTAAACAAATTGTAAAATATATCTTATGTTTTTCATAGAACACACCATGAGGAATTTATAAAATTGAATAAAAAATTTGTGTATGACTTTTTTCAATTTAACCTCAAAATTTGGTATTTAAAAATGTTTAAACTTTCATGTCGGGCCTATTGTGCTCTCCTTATCAGCAAAAAGTGTTTGTTGATGTATTATCGTCTGATGTTCTGAAACTCCGTTTTCTGGACGTAATTGCTTAGAATTTACCAATCAGTGTTCCTGAGGGATGTTATATCCGGAATAATATCACATTCATGACATTTGAATCTAATTTCTATAAAAGCCTAACAATGTGTTAGCAAATTCACTCAGAATATTTACCATCATTCTAGCCTCAGACTTGCTCATTTTGAGGAGTCTTCTTATCCGCTCTCGTTAGGATCACCCCAAAGGATTTTTCTGGTACCCATATGATGTTTTCCTGATCTCTGGGAGAGTATTTGTTAAAGAAATTACAATCCAATACAGTCTTAGATTTAACTTTAACATCTTATTGCTTTCTGTCTATCCGAAATATGTTATATCTGTTTCTGGGTCTTTAATATAGAACCCCAGATTTAACTTTAACTTCTTATTGCTTTCTGTCTATCCGCAATATGTTAACTCTGTTTCTGGGTCTTTAATATAGAACCCCAAGCCCGCTTTATCGCAAAATTTAGAGCCATCCATGAAGCAACGGATTTCTCTGGCTAATTGCTCTTCCCACTGACCATGACATTCTATCTGGAATCAATGTTTTAAAGTTTCCGACATATTCTGTGTCTGGTAAGCGATCGAGCACGTCCGATGATTGTTTATAGCCTTCCAATTAGTACTATACATTGATGACTGTAAACGCTTTTGCTCACTTCGCTTATTTTATGTTATATATGTTCCAATTGGTGAAATATTTAGAAACGTTTCCAAAGCTTTGGTTGACGTAGTGCTCATGACACCACTTATGCCCAAAGAAGTCCACCTACTTATGTAGTATATTTCAGATCTTTGTCTGGTATACTGCTTTTAACTATGCTATGGTTTTCAGTAGGATGGAAGTAAGGTTTTTC